AGGAAGGAAGGAAGGAAGGAAGGAAGGAAGGAAGGAAGGAAGGAAAGCACATCTGGGGAAAGCAGCTTTTCCTGTGACTTAACTCTCTAGGTCAGCATTTCTCAACCTCAGCAACTTTAAGACATGTGGACTTCAACTCTGGAAGTTGAAGTCCACACATCTTAAAGATGCTAAGGTTGAGAAACATTGCTCTAGGCAATCACTTGGGGCATTATTAATTCAATGTAGAAAGAGAGTATTATAGAGTTTTACCAAAACAAGCAAGTAATTCAGTAGTTTCTTTCTTTTTAGCTTGATTTACAACCTCAAGGAAAAGTACTGATGGCTGTACAATATTTTCTAGAAGATGGAGGTAAGGAGATTTAAAAAATAAACAAACTAAACTTCCAATATACAATTAAAATTACCTTGAAATATAATGAATATAGTCCAAATTCCTTATTAGGAAATGCTCTGTGTATTCAGCAAGTTTTTTCCACTGACATGTGGAATATTACCCTGACTTTTATGAAGAATTCACATAATTTACTTCACATCAGTGAATGTTTTAGGGGGTCTGTGAGCTATGCAGATGTGTTTCCTGGGCTGTCCATGTACTCAGTGGCCATGAGAAGGGGTTTAGTATACCTACTAATACCCATATGTAGAGTTTTATCCCTTTCTGTAATGACAAACCTGTAAATGAGGGAGGTCGTGGGTGAAGCTGAAAATGAAAACTCCCATAGCTTCATGGATTCCTTTAGAAACTCATTTCCCATGCTCACAGCGTTGTATATTTATAGCAGCTACTGTATATACAGCAAGGTTCATGACAGGTAGCTCTATTTATTTTAAGAATGTTGTCATTAGTTACAATATTTGTAGTATATGGGACATTGCCTCTGCCTCTCTCTCTGTATATATATTATCTCTCTCGCGCGCGCGCTCTCTCTCTCTCTCTATATATATATGTGTGTGTGTGTGTACACAAACACACATGGCCAAAAGTATCGGTACACCTCTGCTTTTTCCCAAAGAATCCCAATTTGCCATGAAAGAAGTAGGAAATGACACAAGTAAATGTCATCAACCATTCTTTAGTCCATAGTCCATAAACAGACACTTTGCTTTTGATGTATGACTTAACATATTCTTGTAAATAATAAAACAAATGAAAACAGCATGGACATAATTATTGGTACTAGTTAGAAATTAAAATATATTATTGGAATATAATATAAAATATATTATTGTGCAGTATTTGGATGAATACAACCAGAGGAAAGAAGTACTCTGTCAGGTGACTTGAATGCATGCATAGGGATGATAGAATATAGAAAAAGTTATTGGGCAATATGGAGCCTCAAGAATGAAGAGACTTTTTGGGTAGTATATGTTTAGAAAAAGTTCATATTCTTTGAAACTGTTTAAGGATAAGTCTGTTGGTTTATACAGATGGCAAATGAATGAATATACATCTAAAACCAAGATTGATACGATTGTTTATGATGAAAGGTTGACAGAATTAATGAAGGATACAAGGAGAATGAGGGGGTCTGAATGTGGGACAGAACATTATTTCATAGCATCAGGAATGGATGTTGACATAGAAGGAAAATGAAAAAAGTGAAAGTAGCACAAGAAAAAGTCCTGCCTATATGAAAAAGGATTAGAAGATAGATTAATCTCACAACAGGAAGAATGGAAAGTAGACATAAGAGGAGATGGAACAGAATACCTAGGAAAGAATTTTAAAAATTATGTTAAAAGTGCTACCATAATGTGTGCAATTATGCTCATGAGAAGTATGAAAAAGATGCTTGATAGAATTATGAAGTACAAGAGCCCATGGGTGAGGAAAATGCATATAAAAAAATTATTCCTGCAAAAATGATGATGACAGATGATATTAAATCACTTGGATTGAGATGGGCGGCTATAGAAATTGCATAAAAATAAATAAATAAATAAATAAATAAATAAATAATCACAATGTGGTCAAAGAGAACAAGGAACAGATAAGATTAAAAAGAAAATCTAGAGTGATTTTTATGGAAATGCAAAATTTTGGAAGTTGAGGAAGAGGGCTAAATGAGCCTCCAATAGAGTGAATGGAAATAAAAATAAAAAGAATAAAATGAAGGCTGGAAGGAATATTCCAGAGACTTCTATGGAAATGATAGTGATATGTCACTTCTGAAATGAATACTATAAATGTTATCTGATGTTATCTGTCACTATCTGAGATAAATGCTATAAATTTTAAGACTCAAGAAAAAAATTGGTGAAAAGGCAGTAATAAGTGCAGTGAAAATGTTGAATTGGGATGAGGGAAAAAGAAAGATCAAGAAAGTTGTTGGATGAAGCAGGTGAGATGGGAGATGGGAAGAACAAAAGGCAATATGTTAATTGATTGATTATATTTTATTTATATATCAAATTTGTCACTGCCCATCTTGTTAAAAAGTGACTGGATGGTTTACAGAGAAGATAAAATCAATTAAAATAAAATATAAAAGCAGTCTTAAATAATAAATTCCAAGAATTGATGGAATTGGCGAGTAGCTCAGGGAGTGTCATCAGGCCACCAGCCGTCCCCAGGACTGATTAGAGCTCTTACTACCCCACACAAGCTGGCAGACCCAGGTCTTTAGTCCTTTCCTGAAAGCCGGGAGGGTAGGGGCCTGCTGCACCTCTGAGGGGAGAATATTCCAGAGGGCAGGGGCAACGGCAGAGAAGGCTCTCCTCCTGGGCCCCGCCAGCTGACATTCTCTCGCTGACAGGTCCGCAACATGCCCTCTCTGCCTGACTGGGTGGGACGGATTGATGTGATGGGGGTGAGACAGTCCCTCAGGTAGCCTGGACTGAAGCCATGTAGGGCTTTAAAGGTGATAACCAACACCTTGAATTGGACCCAGAAGCAGCAAAGGTGTTATATGTGCCATCCTTGGGGCACCCAAGATTGTCCGCACAGCCTCATTTTGAATCAGCTGTAGCTTCCAGATACTCTTCAAGGATAGCCCCACATAGAGCGCATTGCAACAGTCTAACCAAGAGATGACCAGGGCGTGAGTGACTGACCGGAGAGCCTCCAGATCCAGGAAAGGGCATAATTGGTGCATCACATGAAGGTTGATGTATGAATGTGGTTGAAGCAAGGTTGGTTTGCAAGAACAGAAAAGTATGGAGAGCTATAATGTAGTTTTTTATCTCATGCCTTTAATTTCCTTGTTTTTTATTCCTGTTTCTTATTCCTGTTTTGTGTTCTGAATAACATTGCTTGCCTTGGAAGGGATGGCATGATATGTGTATGCATGTACGTATGATCCACCAGTCCCTCTGCTTCAACAGGAAGCCTTTTGAACTAGGAGCACTTTCTCAGCCCTTCCTAGAGGTTTCATACAATCCAGGTTTTTCTGTTGGTGTCAGCTATTTTAGTTTATCATTGCTTCTCTAGGAATTGCTGAATCTAATGGCTAGTTGATCTGTCAGGAAGGATCAGAACTGATCAGCATATTTTTAAAACAAAGTATAAGTTGTGCATACATTAATGAAATTTGTATTTACCTGTCCCTTTAGAAAGTGTTGCATCTTAATCATAGGTTCATTATAGTTTGGTTACCTAGGTAACAAAAATGTTTTTAAATACCTTCAGATTAATTAGTAAATTCAAATATTTTAATTGAAGTGAAGGGTCCAGAATATTCATCAGTTAAACTAATTTTCATGTAGGTATCAAACTATGATGGGAAAACTGCAAAAACAAAGGAAATCTTCACAGTAGGTGAATGTATCATTTAATGTGCAATGTACCTCATGCTTATGGGATGCCATTTCATTGCAGTATATTTGGGCCAGGGACTCATTACATGCATTTTGATCTAGTTTGTTAATCTGCAGAAGTTTAGTGAATAGTTTTCATATATTTCTTTAATGAGAAAGACAGTTTTCTGCCACATTTTTACAGAAGCCTGCTTGTCAGAGAACAGAATGGGCAAGTCTGCATCATAAGCCCTAGGTCCTTGGGGGTGGAGGTGGGGAGGTTACGTATACAATTACTTACCTTGTACTGATTTTTTATTCAGAAGAGAGCTGATATAGGAGGTCCTGTAATTTAACAAATAAATAACAGTGACAAGTTTTACATCATTATTCTTTCCTGACTACACCAATTAGCAGAGTCAGTGAAATAGTCTTGCTTTTAGCTTATGCCTAACCCTATAATCCTTTATTGTCCAATTATTTTTTGGTCTCTTCTTCCACTAAAGCCAAAGCGATCTGCCTTCTCTAAGATTCCTTTTTATAAAGCAGGAGAGAGTGCTATACTCATGGAGAACTAGAATGAAAAGTACTGTTGCAAAAAAAAGGGAGGGAATCCAGAAAATTTATCTTCCATTTTTCAACAAAATATAGTGTTCATAAAATTGTGCAGATATAGTTGTCAATGCCTTGGTTTATTTAAATGAAATTGTTTACCTTGTTTAGGCACAGAACTATAGCGAATGAATACATGAGCACCGATTTTCTACTTTTTCTGTAACAGTCCACTTTAAAGGCAACTAGAATAACTTTCTGTTTCTGGAATTACCATGCTTTTAATTTCAGCTTGAAAAACAAAGGCCTGCCATTTGTTAATGATAATAGAGTTAGTTTTAGTAATGGATAAACTATTTTAAATTTGTATAAAACAATGTAGCATTAACATTATATGACTAATAAGGCACCCATTTTCTGAATGGAATTTTTCCTGTATATTTTCTGAAGAATGTTTAGTGAATAGTTGTTAGGGATCAGTCTGAGGCTGAACGCCTTGAGCAGACCGAGTCTCACCACAGGAATTATCTGAAGTGAGTGCACTGGTGGGAAAGGCATTTCAGGAGGCAAAGCTGCAGACTGCACCAGCTGATGTGGAGCTTGAGATTGTTTGCCACCCCACCACAGTAGAGGAGTATTCCTTTAAGTGCAGTCATTGAAGTGGAGTAATTACAAGCTGAAAATGAACAATTAAAAGCACAGCTTTTCCAGTTCACCATGCAAGCTACACAACATTTGCAAGTGCCTCCAACATCACATCATAAATGTCCTGTAGCAGTGCCTAAAAAATTGGATGAGACTGTTGGCCAGGCTGCAGACTTTCTGGCCTAATACAACCTATATGCAAGTCTTTGCTAATCACCCTTCGGGGATCTCCAGCCACATCTCTTCAGTCTGCACTACCCATGCAAATTGGTGGAACTGGACTTCAGTTATCTCCAGAAGAAAAAGCTAAACACAGGTGCACAGAAGCTTATTTATATTGTGAGAGCCAAGGACATTGGGCTACTGCATGTCTAGCCCAGAAATTATACCCATCCTGGGAGGGGAAACAGGCTG